AAGTTAGAAGTCCGGATTAAATAATAGGGTACTTTTTATCCCGGAAAAATATGATATTCCCGAGGGAAAACAAAAGTATTGGTATAGATGGCGCTGTATGTATTGGTATATGTCACATATGCTACTTTTTATCCTTTTGTGACGCGAGCGAAGCCGCGGGTAAAAGCTAGTAATAAATAAATATCTAGACCTAGCTTAAGTGTCGTCATCTAGACGCAAGATGTTATATAATAAAACTGGTTGTTACTGCAGCAATGTGTGTGGACATCCACGTCTTATGATCGTCGACTGTATAGTTACTTCCTTGTCAATTAAGTTGGAAGTTCGACTGTTGAAGTCAAAGTCTTTGGGTGAATACTCGGGTCCAGTTAGTTTTTAAATGTAACGAAACATACAAATTAGTTACATTAACTAAAAATCGCGGGTTACTCACGTGAATATACTGAGAAAATCTGTACTAGAACCCACAAAATTAAAACGAAATTTTTTGATATAGGCGGATTACAAGTATGTGTTGCTCTCGTCCGTGCGTCACTGCAGGGGTGCCCACTGAAAATCAGTGTTGGGTGCTCATTGTGCATGCCCGCCAACACTGTGAAGTATGTTGCACCTGTATTACTGGCTTGTTATAGTTTTATAATTTACTTATTATCTTTTTTTTCTGTTTTCATACTTTTTTATTGTTATATGTCTTTTCTGGCATGCATGTCTTAGGCTGAATAAACGTATTTCATTCATTCATTCATACTAGTTTCGAACCACAGAGGGGTTCTTCCTCATGAGCAGCGTGATTTTCGTTAATTTAGTATGTCTCACGATAGTTTTTATAAAAACATACAAATTAATTATAGCAAAATTGAGAAATGATCTATTTTCGGTAATATTTCCGAACTGACCTTCAAACCTTTAAGAAAAGAGCGTACTCTTTTTAAAAGGCCGGCAACGCACCTGTGACTCCTCTGGAGTTGTAGGGTCCATGGGCGGCGCTGATCGCTTGCCATTAAGTGACCTGCCTGCTTGTTTGCCTTCTATTCCATAAAAACGTCGCGGAGAACCTAACGGCTTACCCCTCCGGCTCGAAGTGTTGGAGAAGGAACAGGGTGGTTTTAGTCAGTAAGAGTCTGACACTCCTTCCCGTCTCACCCAGGCGGGAGCAGTTAGTTATTCGATGATTCTCCCCCCTTAAAAAAATCCATAAAAATTTGTTTATGAAAAAAAATGAGATAGTGGTCAAACCAACAAAAAAAAACAGACGGACACTTTTTTAAAAATGCCCTAAGTATAATTGGTCTGACATTGACTTTGACACATTGGCAAATGACAGATGACAAACGCCGCACACAGACGATGGATGACGTAACAAATCTTACGTCACACACGTGAATTAACACGGATAGAAAATCCCAACGAACTAATACAAATTGGGAGGATGACAGGGTATGAAAATTAAAAATCTAATTAGTCCGTAAGTTAGGTAATGAAAAAATATTAGACGCGTATATTTTTATTTTGTCGTATAATAAAACTTAAATACATAAATAAATCGAATCAAAGTTTAGGAGTGGGGGCTAAACCGTCATTTCTACGTATAAAATGTAAATAGAAGTGACGTCACGCGACATTTCAAATCAATATATTGTCAAAAGTATTCGTTTCTGTAAGAAAATAAAAAATACGTGTCTAATGATTTAAAATAATCTACCAGACGGACATTAAAATAAAAATTAGGCATCTACCCTATTGTTGGGCATAAATCCTGCCAGCCACGATTACCTGGTCGGAGGATGCACCTTTTTTATGGCATGAGCCGGTAAACGAGGATACGTTTCACCTGATGGTAAGCAATCGGCGCTGCCCATGGACACCTGTAACACCAAGACGTTACAAGAGCATTTAGGGGCTTTTAGGAATTGGGAATTTGAAAAAAACGGGTTATCATAAATAAACGTCATTTAAATATAACATACATAACATCACACCTTTTATCCCCGAAAGTGTAGCCAGAGGTGAACATTACGGCATTTAATGCCACTGTACAATGTAACACCCACTTTTCACTATTTATGTTATTAGTCCAATGTAATAGGGGTGAGTCTACTGCCATATACCGGGCACAATTCCAGACTCCGTGCTACAACTGAGATTTTTTTTAAAAACCTGGTAATACTTTGATCGACCCGGAAATGGAAACCCTTGCATGGCAGTCGCGCTTACGACGACTCGGTCAACGGGGCAGTCATAAGTATATAGTATATATTATATGAGAAAGGTACCTGCTGAACGCTCGGTGGCCATGGCGTAATTATATGACGAAATGGTTAAGTATCGCCAGTGCAAGCTATTTGTAAGAGCCTAGGTTCTCACTGATGTCTTTAGTCGAGCTGATTCTAGAACATTTATGCACGACTAGCCTTGTCAGCGGTTTTGCCCGCGTCTCTTTTTAGGATAGTAAAATAAAAGTCTGTACTGAAAGTAAAAGTAGCCAGTGTGTCAACACGAGCAGTCCATAATCTACCCTTGTTCCAAATGTCAGCCCGATCCCTTCAGCGGTTTTTGCGTAAAGAAGTATCAGACAAACAAACAGACAAACATACATACAAACAAATTATCTGTTACTAGCTGTTACCCGCGGCTTCGCTCGCGTCACAAAAGGATAAAAAGTAGCCTTTGTGACATATACCAATACATACAGCGCCATCTATACCAATACTTTTCGCGTTCCGCGCGCGCCTCAAAGAACCATCAGACCACCACAGATGGGGCCCAATAGGGCGGATGCCGATTCGGAGTCGCGGAGAACCTAACGGGTAACCAGGGCTCCGGCACGACGTGCAGGAGAAGGAACGGGGTGGTTTTTAGTCAGTAAGAGTCTGACACTCCCTCCCGCCTCACCCCGGCGGGAGCAGTCATTCGATGGTTTTCCCCCCTTCAAAAAAAATGCAGTTCGCCTTCCAATGAATTCCAATTTCTTCACTCTGATTGGCCGGCGTCATTGAATCAACCAATCAGAGCGCCGAACGCGTACTCGTTACTATTACTTTAAACGTAAAATTAATTCGTTCTAAGGCCTCTGGACCCAATCTTTCGCAATTCTTTTCAGAACAAGATCGTAACTAAGGCATAGTATTGGCTGTAAGAGTTCAACTTATAGCCATCTCCAGGTACAGTTTTACACTCTGTGTATAATTAATGAGAATATTAAAAGTAGAAAATATCAGAAATACCATCTGTTCTATCCGGAATTGAACTCAAACCTTCAGCTGTAGCAAAATGCCATTTAGCGCTTGTCTACATGTAGAATAGAAAACCAAATTATATGAAATTGACGTAAATTTTGACACTTGTCAGCGTCATCCCCGTACATTTTGATTTATACTCTCTCTGTAGACAAGCGCTAAAGTGGCGTTTGGCTAAAGGCACTGTGTTGATAAACTCGATAATAGCCATTTAAAGACGCGATCAATTAGTCAAGTTCGTACCGATTAATTTAAACATTTTTTCCACAATATTTTTTTGTACCATGTCTGCCTAAACCAATTTGTCTCTATATATATAAATAAACATTATATATGTATAATTGTATATGCTGTCTATCACATAAATCGAAAAACCAACACTAATTTATAACCTACATAATTTGTTCGTTAATTTTAATAAAACACATTTTTTTTATATAGCAGGTAACATAAATTATACACAATCTAACACTTTTATGTATACAGGATTAATAATGTAATGGAAAAATCACATGTACCTATTATTAATCTTTGACACTTAAAAAAGATTTTTAAGGTAGTATAAAATAAACTATTGGGTTTTTTACTGGTATTGTCGTGTTAATCCATCGATTATAATATGTATATATAAAGTTATATATATATTTGTTATCGTCGTTACAAACTTAGGTGACAAATATAATTTATAAAAAATAGTTCCGTGTATTTAATATAAATAATTAATCCTTATTTTTGTAAAATATGTAAACAACAAATAGCATCATTGCTAATTTTATGCTGCTTTGAAATTTAGCCTCGAGTCTACGGAGTTTGGCATGCTAGATCGAGGCAGTATTTCACCCTGGCTCATAGCCTGCTACTATATAAGATACAGATCTGTCTACTTACGGAATATTGTATATATAAGGGAGACTGGACAATGGACATCTACACTACATGAGCTGCTGTTTACATGTGAACATTAGCTCATGACGATACCTAAGAACGTGTGTCGCCTGGGCAGTCAACCTCGCTACATCCTTGTTGACTGGACATCTACACTACATGAGCTGCTGTTTACATGTGAACATTAGCTCATGACGATACCTAAGTACGCGTGTCGCCTGGACGGTCAACCTCGCAACATCCTTGTTGACTGGACATTTACACTACATGAGCTGCTGTTTACATCAATATACTAAATTCCGGTTAAATATTTATACGTTAGGTTGTTTTACATAATATAAATTATATATTAAGCTATATATTTTGATAATTTAGTACTAGAATTTGCTTGTTTGACAGCTATGGTGTCAACAGTCATAAAAAAGATCTTATCGTGTACTAAAATATATGCGAATATGTGATTTACAATATATATATTCGAAGCCTATATATTTTTATTGGGTTATTTAATTTAATGAAGTTGTGTGTCTTGCCTATGATTACTAAAAACTTTATAACAACGTATGATAGTCCACTACTGGTCTTAAGCCTCTTCTAAATAGAGAGGGCGCCATTATCTCCACGTTTGACAGGCTTAGATTGCAGTATAAAAGGTTCAGGTTTATCAGAGAGCGCTGCCGGTCTCTGTCACATTAGTCCCTTAGGAGTGAGGTTGTATGTGGGATGTGGGTGTGTCAAAACAGCTAAAGGGATCAGGGTGCTTACTCTTGAAACCAATCTCAATGTCAATGCAATTTCAATCCAATAAAATAACATCACGCCTTTGATCCTCGAAGGGGTAGGCAGAGGTGCACATTATGCTACTGTACAATGTAACACCCACTTTTCACTATTTATGTTATGAGTCCCATGTAATAGGGGGTGAGCCTATTGCCATATACCGGGCACAATTCCAGACTCCGTGCTACTACTGAGAATTTTTAAAAACCCAGTCATACTTTGCCCGACCCGGGAATCGAACCCGAGACCCCTTATCTGGCAGTCGCACTTGCGACCACTCGGCCAACGAGGCAGTCTCAATAATTATTAAATGTCAAAACTATACAACCCCTATCGCAGCTGTTAAAATAGCATTCAGAGTATAGAATATAAAGCCTAACTCAATACCATTTAGTTCATTAAATATCCACGCAATACGAAATTTTAAAATACCAATGTCGATCGATCGGAATTGGATTCAAGAGTAAGCACCCAGGATGTTTAGAACAGCAAATACATTAGCTACTTTTGTCAACAAGAACGCAAGCGAAGTTGCTGGTAGAGGCTTGTACTTAATTTCCAGCTTCCTTGTGCGTACTGCTAAGGAGTGGAATTTTTTGCCAGAGTCTGTGTTTCCTGAGGGGTATAACTTGGGTGTCTTCAAGGCCTGAGTGAATAGGTATCCTATGTTACTCTTTAGTACATCAGCTAACTGCCAATAAATGTCCTGTCAAAATCAGTCCAACCATTACATTCCTAAAGGGACCTGGATGTCTTCAAGGCCCGAGTGAATAGGTTGCGTATGAGACGATAAGCTCCATCGTAGGCCGCATCATCGCTTACCACCAGACGAGATAGTGGTCAAACGTTAGCCCATCAAATATGCGCGGGCCTGCGGACGGCGAGCATGGGTGGCTCCCCGTCCGACCAGAAACAGACCCGAGCGTACCATCGTGAGCCATCAGACCACCATAGATGGGGCCCAATAGGGCCGATGCCGATTCGGAGTCGCGGAGAACCTAACAGGTAACCGGGGCTCCGGCTCGACGTGCAGGAGAAGAAACGGGGTGGTTTTTAGTCAGTAAGAGTCTGACACTCCCTCCCGCGTCACCCAGGTGGGAGCAGACATTTGATGATTTTCCCCCCTTAAAAAAAAGCCCATCAAATATAAAAAAAAATATATTGAACGAAACACTATCAAAATATCTTCAATTTTTACTAAACAAACAACGTAGAAGTATGCCAAACGAGAATTTGTTCACGTTGCGCCGTTTTTGTAAACTAGTGTGGGCAGGTCTGTCGTAACACACCGGTCGAGTCGTGCCATGCAACAAGTGGTCTAGTGAACTTGCGCCAGTTACTCGCACGAAATATGTAAGACGCACTTTCCAACGAGGCATAAAGAGACAAACGTAAATATTTTGTTTTAGTTTTAATTTTAGTGAGATTCTTTTTTAAAATTTCCTTTACTTTTTGATCTTGGTAATGGTGTTTGCAATTGTGGAATATTAGATTGTTTGTACTGTAAGTTTAGAAACCCACGAAGCCGCGGTAGATTTAACAGGTTACCGGGGCTCCGGCTCGACGTGCAGGAGTAGGGACGGGGTGGTGTTTAGTCAGTAAGAGTCTGACACTCACTCAAGGCTTACCGAGGAAAAGACATAGAATGACTTTCCTTTAAACTGTCAAACACCGCGAGGATACTAGTGACCGCAACCTATTGTTCTTTAATTGTGTCTATAATGACCGTACTCATAGGGTTAAACAAAAAATAAAATTTTGAATATTCTAGATCGATTTGAAATGTTTCTAATAAAGATTACCATTAATGACCATGCTTACTCAGTACAGGTTATCGATTATAAACTATAATTATAAATTATAAGCCCAGTTCCTCACAAGGTTGTCCTTCACCGTTTGTCAGTGGTGTCTAGAGGTAGATCTTAGATCTTAGAAAGTACATGTAACTCGGAAAAAGTCACATTGGTACTACCGCATCCTCATGCATGAGAGGGGCGTATTAATCCTTCGGGCCACCACGACATTTTTAGCACGACAAAAGCTGTGCTATTACAAAAGTGGTCACCTTGTATAACAATCGTTTCCGATTTGAAAAGTTCATATGAAAACACAAAAAACCTTTATATATATATATTTTATGTTTATTTTAACACATTATATACCTAATTATATTATGTTACTTGTATATAAATACATTGACATTTCGGATTTAAATAATAAAAGGAATCGTTGAAAATATTTTTGTGTAATACCTATATTAACTGTATTGTTCAATTCAGGTTGAACGGTTTTTTTTAAGGGGGAAAATCATCGAATGATTGCTCCCGCCTGGGTGAGGCGGAAGGGAGTGTCAGACTCTTACTGAGTAAAAACCACCCCGTTCCTTCTCCTGCACGTCGAGCCGGAGCCCCGACAACCCGTTAAGTTCTCCGCGGCTCCGAGTCGGCATCGACCCTATTGAGCCCCATCCGTGGTGTTCTGATAACTCTTTGAGGAGCACGAGGAACGCGACGCGCTGTACGCTTGGGAATTTTCACTACCTAGGATTCAAACCTAAATCATGACGAAATAATGTAGTATTTGACATTTACCGTCTTCATCCCCTTCTTTAGGTCGGTTTATTAATGTACTAAACCCATTTCCAAAGTGTAATAAACACTTTTCTGAAACCTGCATCGAAATCGATTCAGCCAATTGCGGGATAATCGAGCTGAATCATTAATACATATATACCTACAGGTCAGACTGAGATTCTCCTTCTTCTCTTGAAGTCGGTAAACAAAAATAAATTTAAATAAGGTAAAGCCGTTCTCAAGATTCACGCATAGCAACATAATTTATCATTTATTATTATTTTTTTATGTCATAAGCCGGTAAACGAGCAGACGTATCACCTGATGGTAAGCAATCGGCGCCGCCCATGGACACCCGGAACACAAGTGCGTTACTGGCCTTTTGGGGATTAGGAATTTGAGAATTGTTATTCAGGGATTGGGAAAGGGTGGGGCGGGGTAATTGGGCCTCCGATAACCTCACTCACGCGACGAAACACAACGCAAGCGTTGTTTCACGTCGGTTTTCAGTGAGGCCGTGGTATCACTCCGGTCGAGCCGGCCCATTCGTGCCGAAGCATGGCTTTCCTACACTTAATATAATTTTATTAATAATACGTAAACAAGAATAATTCCATTCAAAAACGTAAATAAATACACAAAAACACGGATATAACGGTTTATGTATGTACGTCATTTAAATAAATATATCTATATATGTATGTATATTGGCTATTTATAATATTAATAGTAAATAATAAATATATATAATAATACATATACATAATATGACGGAAGCAAAGGACACGCGATGATTGCCTAAAATTAGTAAATAATTTGTTAATTATCATAATATAAAATGATGCGCGAGACACATAGTTAAAAAACCTATAAGTAATATATTTAATAATAAGAGTGGAATATAATTTGTAACCACCGCTATTCTTCCCGCGGGTGTCATATACCCGAGTACACAGTCGTACAGTGTCACAATTCCAGACTCCGTTCTACTACTGAGAATTGTTTAAAAACCTACTAATACATTGCCCGGCCTGGGAATCCAACCCAGGACCCCTTGCCCGGCAATCGCACTTGCGACCACTCGGCCAACGGGGCAGTCAATATCAATCACCTTGAAATTATAATCATGCACGTGTATGAGCATCACGTGATTTTTGAAAATAACCGGTACAATTCATATATATGTATGTATGTATTATATTAATATATATACAAGGTGTAGTCTTGAAACCGTGTCATTTTTGGGGGCATGTCACAGAAGTCATAAAGGTTCAATGTAAATAAAAGTTTCGGGCCAATAGTTAAAAATACGGCTATAATAAATCGTTTAAGTTTGACCGTATTTTAGAATAAGCGACAGCAATGGTTCTTATTGGAGTTTTATGGAATTAGGAATAATATCAATTACGTGTTTAAGTTTGTGTGTGTCAAGCCGCGTTATAAAACTAGCTACAAGACGGCGGCGTGTAGTTCGCACTTACGGATTTCCGTAATTTACAGAAAAAATAAAAATGTTTACCTACACTTTTTTTACTGATTCGGACTCAGAATCGATAGCCGAGTTACCTCTTAGAAAATGACGCGGCTTTAAAACAACACCTTGTATATATGGCGCATTTCTCGACAGTTTTGACGATCAAAAAATCGCCGCCGACCCACGGTCCGAAACGAGTTTAAATTCTTTCATTGACGTCAGTCATCGCCCATCGGACATTTTTTGAACTTTTTGACTTAATCTCGACTGCCTCGTTGGCCGAGTGGTCGCAATTGCGACTGCCGGGTAAGAGGTCTCGGGTTCGATTCCCGGGTCGAGCAAAGTATTACTCGGTTTTAAAAAAAATCTCAGTAGTAGCACGGAGTCTGGAACTGTGCCCGGTATATGGGACTTATAACATAAATAGTGAAAAGTGGGTGTTACATTGTACAGTGGTATAATGTGCACCTCTGCCTACCACTTCGAGGATAAAAGGCGTGATGTTATGTTCTCGAATGCAACTGTTGAGAATCAGATTCGATTCGCGAATTGAGTAGAAAATGTTGGTGATATTAAAGATATGTTTATAGAAAAAAGATTTACGAAAGAAGTATACAGAGCGGATATGAATGGAAACGTTCATAGACGGGGACGTATACAGACCAGATTGGCGATGTATTATTAAAAATGCCTAAATTAAAAGTACCCTTAACCGACGAGTATGCATGAAAAGATTGATGACTATTAATGAAGCGAAAGAGGTATGCAAGAATCGTAGCAATTGACTACTTTCCTTAATCAAAAATAAATAATTTTGACTGTTAAATACAATAAAATATTAAAAAATAATCACAGTTTCATTAAATGATTTTATGACCAACTTAATTTTAGTATCTATCTAGCAAATTTTAAGAAATACGTATGTTGTTTAATGTGACGTCACAATATACAATCTCGTACAAAATTCATAGAAAACTGTCGTTTTTGACAGTTCGAAAAAAGTATTGAATTTGACTAGTTGGCAAGTACCCAATTGGGTAGTTTCGTAATTTTTATTTTAATGTCCGTCTGGTAGATTATTTTAAAAC